TCATTCCATAACATACTCGAGGTGGTATTGTCATCAATCACCAAAAAGGGGGAGATTGAAAGCATCTAGGCCCCTAAGTGGATTTCGGTGATTAATGTCAATACAAGATTACTATGACTAACGTGTGTTTTGCAGAGGCAATTAAGTTAGGTCATGGTAATGGAGATCGATTGGGCAATTGAGGTTGTCATGCCCCTACGATGGAAATCATTTCGGTTTTCAAAGGATAGACGACAAGGTTAAGGATAACTAGTTCTAAGTGTCAATTGAAGTTGGAGAGACACTTAGAGTAGTTTAGGACTTTGTTTTTCTTTTGGTCGTACTATGAAGGGGGTATGAACGGGTAGCTTGACCTAGTTGAGTCTAGTGAGTTAGGTGTGGTGCACACTTGTTAAAACTAGCTCTAGGTAGCTCCTATGAATGCCTAAGATCCTTTGGAGCAAACTTCATTCACATATGATCGAGAGTTGGAAGTGAATGGAGGGTCAAATCTTCGATCGGACGACGAGCTCGGTCATGCGACCGGAACGCCGCCGCAGGTCCGGTCAGTTCATTTGATCGAGGAGAACAAGTCTGGAGGACCGGATCTTTGGAAGGTCATGTGACCGGACGCCGGGGGCAGCGTCCGGTCGACTCAAGATAAGGGTCCAGACTTGAGAAAGTGTGACCGGACAGCGTCCGGTCGGTGGTAACCGGACCGTGTATCCAAATATCCGTCGATTCGACATAAATAAGCATCAAGAGCGACCGGACGCGTTCGTCGAAGGTCTTGACCGGACCGACAGCGTCCGGTCATCACTTGAAAGCTATTGCTTATGGATTGAAACTGGACCGGGCGTCCGGTCAATACGATCGGAAGCGTCCGGTCATCCCGCAAGCAGAAGCTCATAACGGTTCGTTTTTAGGTCGACTTATAAATAGAAGCTCCACTCATGTGTGGAGTTACTTTTGCTCATTCCAACAGCTGAGAAACACGTTTGTGAGTGCCAAGAAGAGCAAGGTCCTAGTGAGGTGTTTGTGATTTGAGAATCCAAGAGTGAAACCTCATTAGTGAATCAAGAGTAGACAAGTGTGCATCCATCTTCTCATTAGGCTTCGCGTGGTCAAGTGAGAGTTCGTGCTTGTTACTCTTGGTGATCGCCATCACCTAGACGGCTTGGTGGTGATTGGGAGCTTGGTGATCACTCGACGGAGCTTGTGGGTGACCCAACTCAAGTTGTGAGCGGTTTTGGGTGATTCGCCGCGACGGAGTGTCGAAGAATCAACCCGTAGAGAGCACTTGATCCTTGTGCGGATCAAGGGGGAGCTACACCCTTGCGCGGGTGCTCCAACGAGGACTAGTGGAGAGTGGCGACTCTCCGATACCTCGGCAAAACATCGCCGCGTTCCTCTCTCCATTTACTTTGAGCATTTACTTTAAGTATTTACTTTGAGCAATTTAATACTCGTCTTTACATTCATAGAATTGCTATGCTAGAGTAAGTTTGGAACATAGGTTGCAAGTCTTTTGTGCGTTGATTTGATAGAAACACTTTGTCTAGGCACAAGGGGTTAATTGGGCTATCTGTAGGATTTGATTATTGCAAGAAAATTTAGAATTAGCCCAATTCACCCCCCCCTCTTAGGCATCTTGATCCTGTCAATGTGAATTGAAGAAGGCAGGCATTAGTCCAAGTGGTATTGAAGAAATACCTCCAATAGTTACTGATGACCATGGTGTATGTACTATGTTATGTTATGTTACACTAGACACTCATCCCTTTAGTTGTTAACATTACTGTTCTTGTAGGATGACATAGAGGCCGAGGCACCACCACCTTTTGATTACCCAATGCAAGAAGAGATAACACAGGAAATAATGCTTTCACAGATGCTTTTCTCAGGTTTGTGTGATTTCAATTGTACTCTACTGTGTACAACATCTATTTTACTCTACTAATCTCATACTGCCTCCTGTAGCCCACTCAATGCAGCAGCCTAAATCAGCAGTTGGGACCCTTGCTAGACTCTACCTTCATTCAGTCCAACCAGCCAACTGCAAGACCAGTAGTGAACAAGAAGACCACAGCTGGACAAGGTGGAGGGAAGAAGGGCAAGAAGACTGGAGGAGTTCAAGGCAAGAGCAAAGAAGCTGGACAAGGTGGAGGGAAGAAGGGCAAGAAGATTGGAGGGGTTCAAGGGAAGAAGACCACAGCTGAAAATGCTACATGAAACTGTGGACATGCCAACCTGACTTTTGTGACTGGAATAGGAAAGCGATATAGTTGCTTTTCTGGATAGCAACACCTTTTGTAATGCTTGGTGTAGCTAAATTACAGATCTGTTGGTAGAAATGTTCACTTTGCTCCATGTGTGCCATCTGGTCTTGCAGTGTCCATAGATGCTAGCAAATGGGCTGCAACAGATGTCTAGATCGACATACACTGTAATAGGCCTTGTCTTCTGATCAATACTTTCAACTTGTGAGGAGCAATCTGAGTATAGTTAGTGGAGTCTTACTGTAACCCTTATAACTGAATGTTTTGACCCTTATGAGGGAATCTCATGACTTTTGATTTCTAGTGAATCTAAGTGGGGCTACCAGTAGATCTAGCATCATATGTGAAGGTATGCCCTTGCAAAAACCATGCCAACTGTGAAACCATAGTGGAAGACTGCATAGGTGATCCATCAGCCATTGAGTATGTCACAGACTCACAGGATTGAGTGGGCAAAGTACAGGTTGCTACCAGCAGATCTTTGACAAGAGTCCCAACACTTTTAGAGTCAAGGAGAATCAAGATTTCAGTCAGATAACATACAAGAATCAAGATTTGCATAAGTGAAATGTGTTCTTCTGAAATTACAGTCACAAATACCACAAATTTCAGTCAGATAACATACATGATCAATACCATAAAGCATTACCGGTTCTTACATGAAAATGTTACAAGTTCACACAAAAACAAAAGCATCCCTACTCCCCAAACCTACTTCACATTCACCATTCACTTCTTCATCTGAACAAACACCAGCAGCAGTTGCACAACTACAATTATGAAGCACATATAGAGAATGCATTTCAAGAGCCCTGCAATATCATATCCTATATTGATCAAAGTTCTAAGCTCTACTTCAACAGCCGTGGCATGTTCTACTTCAACAGTTGTGGCATCTTCATTTCCCAGGTCGACATTCTTCTCCAACAGGCTCTCAGTAACTTCATCAGATTGCATCCCAGCTGCCTTTTCTTTTGCTGCTGCTGTCTCCAATTGGTTGATGTATCCTGCCTCCCAAAGAAAAAATGGGCAACCAGTTCCATCCTTCTGCAGATTCATCAGATAGACAAAGCACACATACTCAAAACTTGACTCTAATACTCGGATTTGGACTGAACTCAAACTGGCAAACCTAACTTACATTGTGATCTGGGCAGATGTAGAAGATCTGATCCAAGGACCACGGCCGCTTCGAACGACACTTTACTACCTTATGACGATGGCACCTCGGGCACGTAATCAGTCGCGGCTCATCACCGCGCCTCCTGGTCGCCGCCATCGAGCTCGATTCGGCGGCCATCTCCCTCACCGCCGCGCCGCCTCCTGGTCGCCGCCACCGAGCTCGATTCGGCGGCCATCTCCCTCACCGCCGCGCCGCCTCCTGGTCGCCGCCACCGAGCTCGATTCGGCGGCCGTCGAGTCGTCCTCGCTCTCCGCCCGCGCCGCCTCCGCGAACAGCACCAGTCGTCGGCGTCGCCATGCTCCGCCCCTCACCTGTTCCCCCTTTCTTCGAGGTCAGTCCGAGAGAGGAGAGAAAGGAAAGGAGTGAGGTGGAGATGATGAGATCGTGCGGGGTTTTTTGCTAAAAAGCAAGTATCTGCCGACGGTCACGTGTGCCTCACGTGCGTACATGGACAGCCTTAACACCGTCTGGGCTGTTTAGGACCTGTATGGGTTGGATTAAGTAGACTGGGGAGCCAATTGTGTGATTTAATAGTTTAGGGACCCAGATGAAATCAGCCCAATACTTTAAGGACTGGCCGTACAATTTACTCTTTTCTATGCTTGGCCTCTCTTTTTGAATTTTAGTTGTTGTTTGGTTCGATATTTTAGGCCTGTATAATCAGTTCATAGCGCTATCTATTACCGTCACTTTGTGTTTGGTTCGGTCGGGCTATAATCTATCACTGCGGGATTAGATACAGGCCTGTGGAAAGACAATCCCGCTCCTCTTCGGGCTTTAAGCGATTCCGCTCCCGCTCCTCTCGGCTCTGTAAAGTACGTTAGCAACAAAACAAAAGCTGTTCTCCTTTACAGTGTAACATGTACCACCGCTTGCCCTTGTCAGCACTGAACCAAACAACACCTTATAGTGACTATAGGTACAAATTTATAAAAGAGACTAAGGAGTGTTTTGGCACGGCTCTTCTTAAGAAGCTTTTCTAGAGGAGTCGAACTGCTCCGGCTCCTCTGTTTTTTTTCTGAAAAACGGCTTCTCCAGGAAAAAAATAGTTTGGCAAGAATTCTCTGTAGGAGCCAGAGCCGAAGTAAGAGAAGAGCCTTACACAACAGGCCCGGACAGGAGACAAGGCTACCTCGTATCCTATGTAACTCCGCTCGATTTCGCCTTGCTTTCCTGAGCAAGCCAGATTAGCTCACCTGGATGGCAATTCTCGATGCTTGCGCCAAAATACTACCGTCGGAGTTGAGATCATCACCTTGATCTGGAACAAAGCACGAAAGCTGCCTCAAAATACTACCGTGAGAGTTGAGAATTGAGATGGTCGACACAACACACTTTTGCTGGTAACACAGGCACAGAAAAGGGGTTCTTATGTAAGAATGCCACCTCTCATGCTCACCTTGATCTTGCGCCGCCCATGTCCGATCGGACGGTTCGCCTCCTCGATCCGAGCCGTGCTAACCCTTTGGCAGCACGGTCTGTGCGACTGCCGACTGCGTCCCTTCCTGAACCCTGTGCCACTCACGGGTCACGGTCCTAGCGCGGCCGCGAGACGAGACATGGCGGCCGCGCTCCTGCCGGAGACGGCGCCACGGCTGCTGACTCCTGAGACGCTCCGCACGGCGGCGAAGCAGTCCCAGGGCATCCACCTCGTCCCCCTCTCCCTCCGTCGCGCCATCAAGCGCTACCTCCGCGGTAACCGATACACGCGCCCCGCGCACCACCTGCTCGACTGATTGCCTCCCCTGCTAACCCCCTTTCGCTCACGCAGACCAGGACAAGGCGCACATGAACCGCAAGGTGCTGCTGCTCTCGGCGTCCTTCGACCGCGCCAAGGGCACCGGCGCCGAGCTCGCCGCGGCCGCCACCCGCAGCGCGCTCCTCGACGACCCCAACGCGCCGTCGGGCGCCGAGCAGCGGGCGGCGCGCTGGAAGGTGCGGTCGGCCTACGGCGATATCGGCCTCCGGTACCGCGAGGACGAGACAGTTGCCTACGTCGCGTCACGCATGCCAGCCATCTACGCCGCGTGCCACCGCGTACTGCGAGAGGTTGCAACCATCAGACCTCACTGCTGTTGTCGTCCTTCATGAGCTGAATTTATTTAATGTAGCACGTTCATGGACTGGTTCGTGGGCTTTGCAGGTTAGACGGAGGTTGCCAGAATTTGCGCCTGCCAAGGTGTTGGATTTTGGTGCCGGGCCAAGCTCAGCTCTTTGGTAAGGATGTCCTGATTTACATCAGTTATGGCTGGGTTTTTTTACACAGGCTTAATATGTCTATGAGAATGCAGGGCAATGAGGGCAGTGTGGCCAAAATCTATAGAGAGGGTTAACCTGGTCGAGCCTTCCAAGGAAATGCAAAGAGCAGGGCAGAGTCTCCTTGACAGTAAGCTTAGCTCTCACTTTTGCTTACTTGCTGGGATTCATATTCAATTGTCCAATTGATTGGCTGACGCTCAAGTGGCACAAAGTGGTATATGTGTTGCAGCTTGCAAGCATGTAGGAATTTTAGGCTGACTGTAAATAATGCAAATCATAGCACAGCCACTGACCGTGCACCATAAAGTTATATAAACTCCACAATGTAAATCTGAGTCTTGCACTTTTATCTGGAAAAGTTCATTATTATTTTTTGTCTTACATGAGCATGGTGCTACTTCAGTGTCATACACTAAGTGTTAGTTGCTGTATTCATATTTTTTTAATTTGTGAATTCTGGAATGAATGCTAATTATTACTGTTTATGTGGCAAATGTTTATAGATTTGAAGGGGTTGCCACTTATTCACAGCTATGACAGCATCCAAGAGTTGAACCGCAAAATAGAAAAACATGAACGAGGCCACGATCTTGTAGTATCAGTAAGTTATATTTACTGCTTTGTGGAACTACTTCAGATCAACAAGTCATTTTTATTCAATTTGTTTTTGGTTGGAGATCTTAATGTTTCAACCTTTATTGAATATACTGTCTTCTTTCAACCTACAGTCTTATGCACTTGGCGAGATTCCTTCTTTGAGTGACGAATCACAATAGTGCGCCAGCTTTGGGACCTGACAAGCGATGTTTTGGTATAATCAAACCTCCACCTCTTTCAATATAGTTGCGTATGTGTGAGTGATAATTTTTCAGCTACTTGTATCTGAAGAAAATAATGTGCATGTTTAGGTTTTATTAGAGCCTGGAACACCTCAAGGAGCAAAGATCATAAGCCAAATGCGCTCTTATATCCTTTGGATGGAAAAAAGAGTATGCTCCACTCACTCAGTGTGTCTACACAAATCTTTCACGTGTTCCCTGGTTATGTACCAGTTTATTTACATAAGTTTTGTGTTCTCCAGAAGTGTCATAAAATTGAAAAATCCTCAAGCCGTCCTCCAAGTAGCATGAAGAGCATTGTTGCACAAGAAGCCTCGTTGAAAAATGGTTCTTTTGTGTTTGCCCTGTAAGTTGGAAGCAGAAATACTCATTTTATTTATTTCTCCAATACTACTATTTTCAATTTCGTGAAAGGGCCTCTAGCCTAGTGGTTCTAGTGCCTTAGTAGCACCCTAGTGGCCTGGGTTCGACTCCCTATGGGAATGAATTTCCGGGGCTGGATTGAGAAAAACACCCTTCGCCCCCTGCTGTTCCAGGGATATACGTAACCTGCAGACATGTCCTAGCTACTCCTGGACATATGCCCTGTGTAGGCAGGGCCTTCGGGCGTTTTCTTGGTCCTCTTGGCGACAAAGTTTCTTCTTTTATCAATACCTGGGGTTGTCTTTTCCTCAGGGCTGAGTTTTTACTAATTTCAATCTCCATCTCAGTGTCCTCATGATGGTCGATGCCCTTTGGAGAATTCAGACAAGTACTGCCACTTTGTCCAGAGATTGGAAAGGACATCATCTCAACGTGCCTACAAGGTCATCATCTTTTTCTTGGTTATTTGCCATGCTTTGTATGAGAAACAATTTGTCTTACATGATCCAAGTGACTAAAAGGAGTTAAAGAATATCACGGTCCATGCACCACAGATAAAAGATGTTGTGCTGTTGCTCCGTGCTTGCTTTTCATATAATATAGACGTTCATGCATATGCTTTTATGTTCCAGCAAAGATCGCACAGCTTTAAGCTGTATGAGTCGTGGTAGTGTCTGATGCAGGATCCAGAGGGTGTATTAAAATGTGCGCTTACATTTTTGGGCACAGCATCAGAATACCTTTTTGAACTTAGTGTAGGCATCTGAAAATATTTTGACCTATTAACAAGACTATTGAACTATGTAGCCATTAGTTTTCTTTATCTCCCTTCTCTTTATATTTGCTGCAGAGGTCAAAAGGTGTGCCTTTACGTGGTTTTGAGGATGAAAAATTTTGCTATGTTGCTTTAAGAAGAGGCAAACGGCCAGAGTAAGAGCTTGACGTTCATATTTTCTAGATTATTTCTTGATCTAAACATTCATTTGTACTAGTACATTTTGTTTAAGTTTCCATGTGATCCTGCATGCTTATGTTCGAATTTAAGTAAGATTCCCTTCTGTATAATAGGGAAGCTTGGCCACTTGATGGCTTGAACTTTGAGAAGCTTAAAGAACGCCATGCCAAGAGAAAGCCAGAAGATCTTATCATTGACTATGGTAATATTTATTCATGATTATTAATCGAGTCCTTTGTATTTGTGGTTTCTGATAATCATGTTTCTGGTTCCTGTTTTTTCTCAGACGATCAATTTCCAAGCGAGGAAGATGAAGAGGTTCCTGTCGATGGTGGGGACAGTCTGGTACCATATGCTTCAGATGAACACGAATTAAGTCTGTTCCATGAAAGTGAAGAAGCAGAGGAGGACCAAACGATTCGTGCTGACCTTGGAGGAGGTTGGGGCCGCATTATATACAGCCCCATTCGAAGAGGGAGGCAAGTACAAATGGATGTATGCCGTTCCACCAAACGGGACGCATCCGAAGGCGCATTTGAGCGTGTAGTTGTCACCCGAAGCAAGAACCCAACTTTGCATTTTCAGGCCCGTAGGTCACTTTGGGGCGACCTCTGGCCATTCTAAACGGTAGAATCCTCGAGCTTGGTTAAAAGCCATAATATTGTTATGGAGCTCTGAAACTGTTCAGCGTTGGACTCGGTTGGTGAAAACCTCGATGTGACTTCAGTGAATGTTGTGCCAGAAGCCCAGAACTGATCTCAGCGTGTTCTCTAGCAGATGCATATTTCTGAAAAAAAAATCTCTTTTCGATCTATGGGTCTCACAGTATGAACTATAAAGGATGTGCGAGAATTCTGACTTCAGAGCTTGGGCAAGCTACTTCATGGCACGCTCTTTGACCACTAATGAAGAGTTAGACCAGCATTGTAATGAGTAATACCCGGTGCAACAGAATACTCACGCCTTGTTTAATTCCTTAAAGTTTACTCCTTATCTGGACAATATAGATTAAAAAAATAACTAATTACACAAATTGCAACTACTCTGCGAGATGAATTTTTTAAGCCTAATCAGTCTATGATTTGATAATGCAGTGACGGATTAGCTTAATAAATTCGTCTTTCAGATTATTGAGGACTTCTGTAATTTATTTTATTATTACTATCCGAACACTCTCATATCACTCCCACGTGATACTCGATGTGACATCCTTAAACTTTACTCCCTGGATTTACATGAGTTTACTCTTCTAGGACCGTCTTCATATACCCGCCTACAATTAAGTTGATGTTTTGTGTTTATTGGTTCCCAAAGTTGTAGTTTCTCCATGGGTCATAGTTTGGTGCAAGTTATCGTTATTTTAATAACATCTATATTTGTAGTTTGATGAAATTAACTTTAGGCCTCGTTTGGATCCTTGGAATTGAATTTATTTTAATAATCATAATTTAGATATATATATTAATTAAGCTAATACGATTGTATATAGATTATATTTGTAAATTATTGTTGTCTCTACGAAAGAGATACTTATGTGTTCTATTTGTACCGTAGGGGAGCGAGTTAAAGAGTGTGTTATAAGTTGTAAAGTAGAAATATAGAATGATGATCTATAGAATTAATTTTCATCTCCCACCTTATGAATTTAAGATGGGCTTATATGTGAACTTTGAAAATGATGGAACGTGAAATTTTAAGCGGAATAGCCTAATTTATTAAGTAGATTTTAATTTCTCCAAACGAAAGGATCAAAACGGCCCCTTATAGTTTTCCGTGCTTTTTCTACTTGATATGACAAATGGTAAAATGTAGATGGGACAGGTGTCAATCTATGTTTCTATCCCTCTACCCTAATATTAAAATCAAAACTATATTCTTCTAATCGCTGAAAGGCTCATAATGTTACATTTATTATTTGGTTTGGATGTTTTTTTATCCCGGAGATCCTACTTAAATTTGCATTGCCATATTCTAGTCTCTGGATGCTTTCCTTGGAAGTGGTTAAGGATTTGTCTAGTTGCTAGGTGCTTGTGTCCATGTACATGAGGTTTCTTAAACCCTAATCTCTGTAATATGGTTTTAGTGTTTTAATATATCTATACTACTAAAGTAGCGTGTTGTTGCAGCATTAGCACTAGCGTCTAGCGATCAAGGCCAATAATTCCGGAGAAAACAGGCTTACGTTGACATGGGCCCACCAGCCAACAAAATACACAATCCCGTTCTCCTCCTCGTCTGCCAGTCTGCCACCATCGACTCATCTGTGTGCTCTTTTATTGCGGCCAGCAACGGTGTGGTTCCGTGGTTGGTCGAACCTTCTCCAGCGCTCTCCCCGCCGACGCCACTGTTCTTGCACCGAGGTTAGTTCTCCTCCTGCTCACTCGCCCCCTGCAGTGTTTATCCCTGCTAATCCGTTGTTCTTTAGTCTTTGCGGTAGATTAGATTAAAAGGAATTCGCTGTTCAGGGCCATGGCTATAAGCCATCACTTCTAGATTAATCTCAGGTGTACCAGTACCAACCCTGCTTTTGTGATCTTTTCAGAGAACTCCAATTTTTCGCCTGTTGACCTTGGGAGGGGCGGACAATGGACAGCAGTGCGGAGGAGAAGTTCAGGTTCTGCATTGACAGGGGCGGCACCTTCACTGACATCTATGCCGAGGTACCCGGGAGAAGAGAAGGCTATGTCATGAAGCTCCTCTCCGTCGACCCGTCAAACTACGACGACGCGCCCATCGAAGGGATCAGGAGGATCCTGGAGGAGTTCTCCGGAGAGAGGATTCCCCGGTCGGCCAAGATCCCCACCGGCAAGATCGAGTGGATCAGGATGGGCACCACGGTCGCCACCAACGCCCTCCTGGAGAGGAAGGGCGAAAGGATTGCGCTTTGTGTGACAAGGGGGTTTAGGGATTTGCTCCAGATTGGTAATCAGCCTCGCCCGAACATATTCGACCTCAAGGTGTCAAAGCCGTCGAATCTTTATGAGGAGGTGATGATGGTGACAGCGACAGGGATGAGTCATCTGTTGAAGGGATCTCTGGGGAACTGGTGAGGGTGGCAAAGCCTGTTGATGTTGAAGCATTGAAGCCTCTGTTGAAAGGTCTGCTTGACAAGGGGATAAGATGCTTGGCAGTGGTGTTGATGCATTCATATACTTAGGTACTTAGGTCCAGTTTAGTTGCAAAAAATTTTGCAAATTTTTTCAAGATTTTCCGTCACATCGAATCTTTGGACGCATGCATGAAGTATTAAATATAAATAAAAAATAAAACTAATTACACGGTTTAGATGAAATCCACGAGACGAATCTTTTAAGCCTAATTAGACTATGATTGGACACTAATTGCCATATAACAACGAAAACTGCTACAGTGCCATTTTGCCAAAATTTTTGGCATCTAAACAAGGCCTTATCCTCACCATGAACTCCTGGATGAGAAGTTAGCTCTGGGGATGGGATTCAAGCATGTATCATTGTCTTCATCGCTGACACCAATGGTCCGTGCAGTGCCTCGGGGCCTGACCGCAAGTGTGGACGCCTATCTCACACCAGTCATCAAAGAGTACCTATCGGGATTCATGTCGAGATTTGAAGGGGGTTCTGAACAAGTGAATGTGCTATTTATGCAATCAGATGGAGGACTTGCACCGGAGAGGAGATTCTCTGGGCATAAAGTGGTATTGTCAGGACCTGCAGGTGGTGTGGTTGGCTACTCGCAGACCTTGTTTGGACTTGAGACATCAAAGCCACTGATTGGGTTTGACATGGGGGGTACATCCACGGATGTGAGCCGCTATGATGGAAGCTATGAACAAGTTCTGGAGACACAGATTGCTGGGTCAATTATTCAGGCTCCCCAGCTTGACATAAACACTGTGGCTGCTGGTGGTGGATCAAAGCTTAAGTTTCAATTTGGTGCTTTCAAGGTTGGACCAGAATCTGTTGGGGCACACCCTGGTCCAGTCTGTTACCGAAAAGGTGGTGAACTAGCAATTACCGATGCCAATTTGATCCTAGGAACTGTTATTCCTGAGTACTTCCCATCAATATTTGGTCCAAATGAAGATATGCCCCTTGATTATGAGGCTACAAGAAAGGCCTTCGAAAATCTTGCAGTTGAGATCAACTCTCACCGAAAGAGTCAGGACCCATCAGCAAATGACATGGCAATTGAAGAGATTGCACTTGGGTTTGTCAATGTCGCAAATGAGACAATGTGCCGGCCTATACGCCAGCTGACCGAAATGAAGGGGCATGATACAAAGAACCATGCCCTCGCATGCTTTGGTGGTGCTGGCCCACAACATGCATGCGCTATGGCAAGATCCTTGGGTATGTCTGAGGTACTTGTTCACCGATATTGTGGAATATCGAGTGCATATGGGATGGGTCTTGCTGATGTCATTGAAGACTTGCAAGAACCATACTCTGCTGCTTATAATACCGAGTCATCTGCAGAAGCATCTAGAAGAGAAGCCCTTTTAGTAAAACAGGTGAAAGAAAAGCTGATGGAGCAGGGTTTTGGAGAGGAGAGCATCAGGACAAATTCATACTTGAATTTGAGGTACGAGGGAACTGATACGGCCATCATGGTTAAAGTTAAATAACCAGAGCAAGGATCTGGAAATGACTATGCCGATGAGTTTGAAAAATTATTTCAGCCTCGTGAATTGACGCAGATATCAACCAAACCTGTGAAAGAAAGTTCATGCCAGATTTATTTTTCAAGTGGGTGGCAAGATACTCTGCTGTACAAGCTTGAGAATTTGGGTTATGGCCATGTCTTGGAGGGTCCTGCAGTTATTGTGAATGGGAATAGTACTGTGATCATAGAAAAAGACTGTAAAGCCATCATTACAAAGTATGGTAACATAAAAATAGAGATTAATGCAGCTCCAAGCACTGTATCAATATCAGAGAAAGTTGCAGATGTGGTCCAACTTTCTATTTTCAATCACCGATTCATGGGTATCGCTGAACAGATGGGTCGGACACTTCAAAGAACTTCAATTTCCATTAACATAAAGGAAAGGCTAGACTTCTCTTGTGCTCTCTTTGGTCCAGATGGTGGCCTTGTAGCAAATGCACCTCATGTCCCTGTGCATTTAGGAGCAATGTCTAGTACTGGAAGCTTAATTTTTGGGGTGATAACCTCCATGAGGGTGATGTTCTTGTAACAAACCATCCATGTTCTGGGGGGAGCCATCTTCGTCACGCCAGTTTTTGATCATGGTAAGCTTGTTTTTTTTGTTGCTAGTCGAGGTCACCATGCTGAGATTGGTGGCATCACGCCAGGAAGCATGCCTCCTTTCTCAAAATGTATCTGGGAGGAAGGTGCTGCCATCAGAGCATTTAAACTTGTTGAAAGGGGTGTTTTCCAAGAGGAAGGAATAGTCCAGCTGCTGCAGTCACCTTGCTCTGATGAACTTGCTGGCTATAAGATCCCAGGAACACATCGGATCCAAGATAATCTTTCCGATCTCCATGCTCAGGTTGCAGCAAACCAGAGAGGTATATCACTTATCAAAGAACTGATAAATCAGTATGGCTTGGTCACTGTTCAATCATATATGAACCATGTTCAAAAGAATGCTGAGGTAGCTGTCAGTGAGATGCTCAAAACTGTTGCGTCTAAAGTTGCAAAGGAGAATGGATCATGTGAAGATTATATGGATGATGGCTCTGTCCTTCACTTGAAACTCACCCTTGATGCTATTAAAGGTGAAGCTACAATTGACTTTGAGGGTACCAGTCCTGAGGTCTATGGCAACTGGAATGCTCCTGAAGCAGTTACAACAGCTGCTTTCATATACTGCCTACGGTGCTTGGTGGATGTTGATATACCGCTAAATCAAGGCTGCCTAGCGCCTGTGAAGATCCTCATTCCTAAAGGCTCTTTCCTCTCACCAAGTGACAAGTCTGCTGTTGTTGGTGGCAATGTGCTAACGTCTCAGAGAGTGACTGATGTTATCCTAATGGCGTTTCAAGCCTGTGCCTGCCCTCAGGGCTGCATGAACAATTTGACCTTTTGGGATGACACCTTTGGTTACTACGAGACCATTGGAGGTGGAGGTGGAGGTGGAGGTGGAGCTGGGCCAACCCCTGGAATGGCACTAGTGGTGTTCAATGTCACATGACAAACACAAGGATGACTGACCCTGAGATCTTTGAGCAGCGGTACCCTGTTCTTTTGCACGCATTTAGCATCAGGGAGAACAGTGGAGGTTCTGGTTTACACAGAGGTGGTGATGGCCTTGTGAGGGAGATTGAATTCCGGCGGCCTATTGTTGTGAGCATTCTATCCGAGAGACGGGTGCATGCTCCCAGGGGACTAAAAGGAGGACGAGATGGAGCTCGTGGTGCAAACTATTTAGTCAGAAAAGATGGTAGAAAGATTTACCTCGGAGGAAAGAACACTGTAATGGTTAGTGCTGGTGACATTCTTCAGATTTTCACGCCTGGTGGCAGTGGCTTTGGCTCTCCTTGATGACACTTCTTGCAGATGCTGATCTTCCTCCATTTGTTTCCTACCTTTGTACACCAGTAGCTCTATTTAGAAATAAAACATAATAAGACCGATACAAACACAACCTGTTGGAGATTCCAGATGCTATTATTGCTCCGTGAGGCATTGGACCTTATTAAAGCATGAGTGGTGTTATTGTTCATCAGATACCTTTTATGTGAAACCTATAATGCCAAAATTGATGATGAATGATGCTTGCACTTTCTTCTTATTTTGATATTAGTCGGAAATTGCCATGCTAATTTTCCTATCGTTTATGTTAAACATGCCCTCGTATGCCTGCATACCTCAGCTTGTGAATTGTGAATGTTGCTTCATTGATGTTGGTCTTCATAGATTATTTATTGTTAAACCAGTAATTACCAAACATATACTGCTCCCGTGCACGCATACCCCAGCTTGTGATGTTTCTTCCTAGTCTGTTTCAAAACTCAGATTGTTTCCTGTAGCTGCTTTGGATGCCTTAAATGATACTCTCTCCGTTTCAAATTGTAAGTTATTCTGTTTTTTTAACGAGAACCTAAACGCAGCACCTGTTTCACGGGTTGGGCCACGCACAGGATAAGGGTCACGGACCCGAAACTTGCCAACTCCAACAGCTAAGAGGGCCGGAAACGGAATGGCGTCGTCCACGGCCTCGCTCGCCCCCACGGCCGCGCTGCTGGAGCGGCTGGGCCTTCGCGTCGCGCCCACCGACGACCACCAGGCCGTACCGCCGACGATGCCCGCGTTGCCGCTCCCGGGCCTCCTCCCGCTACACTGCGCCGAGCTCTGGATGGGCGACGGAGACGGAGGCGGGGACGGGGAAAGACGGCCCTATGCCGAGCTCTGGATGGGCACGCACCCCCCGCGCCCTCCTCGCTGGCGCCTGACGTCTCGCTCCGCGACTGGTCGCCCGCAACCCTGCCGCGCTCGGCCATGCCGTCGCCGCAAGATGGGATGGCGACCTCCCTTTCCTCTTCAAGGTCCGTGACGTCGCCTCCGCCATTCCCCTTCCTTCTCCCGTGCCCCGCCTGGCAGCGCCGGCCACACCCACGCCCCACCGCGGTCCCGCCTGGCCGCGCCGGCCGCTCCCCATCGCGGGCCCACCTCGCCGTCGTCGTCCGCGGGCAGCGCGCCTCCCTCATCTCGCGCCTGCGAGCGGGCAAGGCACCTGGTCATGGTGGCCCTCCCCCACCCCTGCGGCGCCCTCACCACCCCCGCGGTAGCCCTCCCCACCTCAACGTGCCTGCTCAGGCGGCGGCGGGGGCCGAGATTACACCAGCTAGCCCGGACCAGTAGCAGCTCGCAGCCGCCGGCACCAGGGACTTCCTGCTTAAGCGCTCCCACGGCCGCCGCTTCTGGAGCAGGCGCGACCGACGGCGGGACCTCTCGTGGTCGCGGCTTCTGGAGCAAGCGCGGGCAGCCCCCGTTCGGCGACGGTGGGGGCGCAGCGCGGATCTAGAGCCGCCCGTGGCACGGCGTGCAACCCGATGCTGGAGTGGGTTCTTCATGTCGCATGCCCCCCTCGATGCGGGCTGCGGCGAGGCGGAGCAGCCATGCGGCCGCCGCGTTGAGCCGGCTCCAGTCGTGGTGGTGGGCCTGGCGCTGCGTGGAGACGCAAAGAGATGGAGAGAGGACGCTTATTTGCGTTCCGCGTCGCCTCGAACGCAAAATGGGTCATGCGATTGCCTACTTCGTTCGAGCGTGTCTTTTTGCCGCTAAAACACTGTGCACCACACATTTTAAGTATGGGTCGCGTTATGCGTACGCTGTTGGAGACAGTCTTAGGTACATAGTTTTCCTATGCACCTTAATATATATTATGTCTGATAAAATCTATGTATCTAGAAAAGGAGAACGACCTACCATTTAGAACGGAGGGAGTACCGTTTGTTAGAGGGATAGTACTATTTGAACCATTTTTTTTCTTTGGCCGGCACATTTGGCAAAGTTTGGCACGAATATGAGTTTCTTGTGAGGGAGAAAGGGGCTAAGAAAGTATACTATGTTTTGTCATAGGAAAAAGTCTACTTAACCCCCCATCTTTCATACATGATCTACTTCACCTCCAACTATGAAACCGTCTGAACTTTCTAAAACCGTCTATTTTACCCCCGGACGGTTTTTGACAGCGGTTTGCTACAGTAACAGCAGGGTTGCTACAGTAATGGTGTTTTGAATTTTCTTTTTTTTTTTTTATTTATTTTCGGTGAACTTTTGAAAAATCATAGTAAATCATAGAAAAATCATAAAATGAAAAATCTAATTTTATTGGACTCCACATGAGTAGATCTACACAGTGAATATATAATACGGTATGCTTTAGTATAATTTTTTTTTAGCTTTAGATTAATTGGAAAATCCAATTTTTTCTGTAATTAATTAGAATTTATCTATAACTAAGTTATACATAGTCCAATGAGTACGAAATTTTTACTATAGTTCAAGCATACAATAATTAGTGTACCATAAAAATTTCACCACAATTGGACCATAGAAGCTGCAGCTATGAATTATTCCAATTAATTACAGACAAAATTAGATTTTTCAATTAATCTAAGGCTATAGTAAAAAAATTGTTCTAAAGCATACCGTATTATATATTCACTATGTAGATCTACTCATGTGGAGTCCAACAAAATTAGATTTTTTATTTTATGATTTTTCTATGATTTACTGTGATTTTTTAAAGATCCACCGGGGAAAATTCAAACCGACCATTACTGTAGCAACCCACCGTTACTGTAGTAACCCGCTGTTGCTGTAGCAACCGCTGTCAAAAACCGCCCAGGGGTAAAATAGACGGTTTTGGAAAGTTCAGAGGGTAAAACAGACGATTTCATAGTTGAGGAGCGAAGTAGACCATGTAAGAAAGATGGGGGGTTAAATAGACTTTTTCCTTTTGTCATAGTTGTGTCGTTGAACCAATGACCAAGAATCCGTGGTTCACTTAGGATTAGGATGTGGAGTCCGCACCGCAGCGACAGCGCCAGGTCGCGGTACATGCGCCGGCGCTCGGCCGCCGATGACTCACAGCAGCAGCTGCTGCAGCCGCGTCCGCCTCTGCCAGCTCCACCGCTCCTGGCATCCCCCCACCCGTGCCTCGCCGCGCAGGCACGGCGCCAGTCTCTCTCGCTAAGCGTCTGCGGCCGAGTTCACGAGTGGGAGATCCCGTGTCGCGGTCGTGGACTTGCACGCTTTGCTTTGCTTCTCCTGCGGTGGGGTCGGGTGGCCCGTCTAATCGTCCGGGGGTCAGTGGGCCACGCCCACCTCCGCACCGCACCGTACCACCGTCGTCGTGAAGTACACACAGGCTGAAACTCTGGACACGCTCCAAACACGCGGACGGCACGTGAGACCGAGGTCCTGTGAGGTGTGACACAGTACGTCCAGCCGCATGGATTGCGCAAGTGTCATGAAACAAATGCGTTCTCCCTCCATCGTCACAGCAATTCTTACTTTCCAAGAGTCAACAATTTTTAGTTTGATCCAATCTAATTACAAAACACAATTTTATAGTAAACATACTTAGAGACAAAAATATTAATAAATACTTTCTATAAAGTTAACTTAATTTAAAAGACCGGTTTAGATATAGAATTCATTCATGCTAAACCATCCAAATTCTACCAAAGTTTTAGGTCCGAGGATGGAGAGAGATGCTTCTGTTGCTCTAAGCAAGACTCGCCAAGCAAGCAAACACGCAGCTTTAGACATGCTCCCTCAATAGTACGGGCCAGTTATTAGGTCTAATATAACTTTCCTAATAATATCAAATTTTAGCCTATAACTCATAGTCTCATAACATGAATAACGCCATATGGCAATTTCTCCAATAGTAGAGTTTGGGACCTTTTTATTTGCTTGATGAAATATATAATCCTTGATCCAAAAAAAGTAAAGTGCCATATGATATGCTCACGTAATCTTCAGATGTATACACGGGGCTAGCTCTGAACCAAGAGATATTTTTCTTTTTTTTTATTAAAATACAAAATAGTAATATGCTTGAAGCTACTTTACAACCATTATTAGAGTTGTCCTAAAAACACTGTTGAACCAGCTTGCGTAGATAGCAGCGTGGGCGAGGCAGCAAGGCGTATTTACGCGCCGTTGTACTTGTACCGGAATGAACTCACGAAGGACTCCCAAACTGTCGGTGCACTCATTCGAAGCTCCGAACTAGACTACTCGTGCTGCACCAGTTTCGGTGAATGGCGTAGCACGTAGAGTGGCCTGGCCGCCTTGGTAGCTGCTGGATGCTAGCCCAGCAACAACAGTAGCCCACTGGACCGCTTCAGAATTTACCGCCTGCTTTCGATTGGGTGAATCAGCCCATTCCGCGTTCAAGTTCCAGTCCCGAATGCAAATCCTTATGCTTGGGCCATCACCACCAATAGGCCCGGCGAAGTGCAACCTTCGCCGACCATCGGGAAGCCTCTCCGCGCCCGCCGCACGCCGGAGGTCGGAGGAAAGCAACTCCACCAGCCAACACCGCCGGCGCCGAGAGAGAGAGAACGGGAATCGCACGAGCAGGAACCTCGTGTGCCGGCGATGGAGAGGGACGTCGTGGTCTCCGACCCCGAGGCCGCCGGGTCCTCGTCCACCCCCGCCTCCTCGTCGTACTCCTCCTTCGCCGAGACCAGGGTCATCTGCCGCGTGTAAGGCTTGGCTCCCCCATACAGCTTCTCCTTTCCTGCTGGCGCAAAGCATCGGGGCCCCGGCGGAACTTGGTACTTGCCTGCTCGTGCTAATGCGTCCTTCTATGTGTCGCTTGCTTGCAGGTGTCAGAAGCAGTTCGCGCAGTACACTTGCCCCCGCTGCAACGCCCGGTACTGCTCGCTCTCGTGCTACAAGGTGCGGCCGCCTCTCGTTTTGTGTGTGTGATCTCGTTGCGCGTCGTCCTGTCTTAGGGCTTGTAGAATACCGTTTGGGGATTTCACTGGTTTCATTCCCGGGCTGCCTTCTGCCGATGCCCACAAGGTGTTTGTCGAATTGCTGCACCGACTTTCGAAGCTTTTGGACAAGAAATTCTCTGATTCCTGCTCAAAATGTGCAACTATCCATAATATAAACTACAACTTCCTTATGAATCATACGAACCACACACGAAGTTCATTTTGCCTTCTGCCGGTGCTGTTCACTTTGGCCTGTATATTTGGTGATCTACATGGAAGTTCATTTTGTTTCCTGTGCTGGGTTTAAACAATATGCATTTAGATTAAATGAGCAATCCAAAAAAGTTAAATTAAGTTTATATGTCATAGTTTCCAATTTCCATGTTTCCCCTTTAGTGAATCTGTCCTATGGTTTAATAGTTGGGGTTCTTTTGTGACCTAATCCAGCATAATTTGGATCAGCTAACATCTCAAGTGACAACAAGCTGTAAGAATTCGTCGAATCTAGGTAATGTGATTTTTTGTACCTATATGCTGTAGTTCATCTCTAGTTGCTGGTCTGAATGGATCAGTATGTCTGTTTGAGACTTTCAATCAGTTTTTGAAAGAAACTACTTATTTATTCACGCACGAAAAACAAGCTTCTGGCTTATACAACTGCTTGTGTGGTGTTATAACGTCTTATTCAAAACTGAGAGATTGAAGCTGTCAAGTTTGTGTGCCTTCTTTTCTATGCACACAGATGCAAAGGAATATTGGTGTTTGCAATGATTGCAGATAATTTTGCACTGCATTGCATTTTTTTTCTTGATATTGCTTCAAATAAATTTCTCAATTCTTGTTTCATAGGGTCATAGTGTTCAATGCACTGAATCCTTCATGCATGAGAATGTTATGGATGAGCTTAAGCAGATGCAACCTGAGGATGAAACAAAGAAAAAGATGCTAGATATCCTCAAGCGTCTCCACTTGGAAGAAGAGATGGAGTCAGATGGTGAAGATGGTATGTTTTGTGTGCTATGTTCCTATGCCATTGATCTATCTTACTCCTTTAATAATAGCACTAGACATAATCGCATTATTATGATCACTGTTAATGAGGACAAAACTACAGAGAGCTCCATGCGCAGTATGCTACAATCACAGTTTGGCTGTTTGGTACATTAAGTTTTCCTGTTTATAGCTAGTTATTGAGTTATGGTGGCTTGTCTGTTCTGAAATCATTTCCTTTCTGTAATCATATGTCATCTTGTAGACCTTTCTGTAATTATGGATAAATCATATTTCATCTTGTAGATTGTTGGTCGTACATATTGCTATAGTAAATTACTGAAGATTTTATTTTTTGACATGTTAACCTTTTTGTCCTGCAGAGTCAATGTTATCAGAGGAGCTTATTCAAAAAGTTATGTCTGGTACGTTATGTTTACTTTCATGCCATTCTAAATGTGACAGTGCAGTAGCTTTTCCTAGTACTATAATAGGTTCTTTAGTGTTTATGAAATTTTGTGTGCTCTTTAAACAATCTTATCTTGCTCTTAGCAATCACAATTCCTTAAGTGGACTTTAGTTGGGAAGAGCTTTCACGGTTGAATTTCCTGATTAACGCTTCATGTGAGAATTATGTTTATTACTCCCTTTTGGTTAACCTGTCTTTCTGTGGCCTGACCACCTAGCAATTGATTAGGCTATCAAATGCTGGTGATCGGTGGCAACTCCAAGTATTTTGTTCTGATATTTCCTTCTGTCCAATTGTTTTCATGATTTAACCTGGCCCTGTGGCCTGACCTTCTAGCAATTAATTAGGTTGTCAAATGCTGGTGATGGGTGGCAACTCCAATTATTTTGTTTTGATATTTCTTTTTGTTCAATTGTTTCATGATTTGTGTTTTTAGATGAGCAATGCAGTAAATCAGCATCTATATTTGTTCATTTTACTTATTCTGGGTGCTATTTATGTCTTTATCATTTTAGACTACAAGTTCGTTAGAATCAATAAATATTGGTATGCATATTGAGTTTTTTATTGGTATCTCATCGGGCACATATTGCTCTGTTCTTTCTACCGTACAGGGGAAGAGATAAGGCTTGAAGACCTCTCTGATTATGAAATCAAACGATTTCGTCAAGCTCTGGCCTCAGGTGAGCTCAGTAAGATGATTGAACCGTGGACACCTTGGTGGAAAAAACCGTCAGCCAGATCGATTTCCCTTGGCCCGGATGGAAGTCAGCTTATCAGACAAGTAAACACAGAAGACACTGCTATATCATATCCAGATCCAAAGACTGACCAAGAGGCTAGCATCAACGAAATCCCTGAAGGGCCAGAATCTCCTCTCCCGTCACTGAAACAGTTAACAAGGACAGAGCCATCTCCTTTGCTTGCTGTCCACTTGGTTGACATCCTGTACAGTTACTGCTTCACACTTCGGCTCTACAACGGTGATTGGCACTCGGATCCTTTGGGTGCTTCCACTGTCGCCCTGTCAATGTCGAAAGTCATGGGCCAGGATGCTAAACCTGAGACTGTACCTGAAGCACTCACGGCCTGCATCGAGGAGACATGCTCACCAGCTTACAGGCATACTGGTGGTTTCAGGTTTGCTATTGGACTCGTGGATGATATCATCACCATTCTCTCCTTGGGACAGAATGCGCTTATTTGTGCACTATGCGACTTCCATCGACTCGTTGAAGTTGGCAAGAGCATGCTGAAGGAGGAGAAAGTGGGCAAGACGGAGAGGGCACAGAGCTCCTCAAAGCTTCGTAGCGCAGCTAGGAAGCTATTCTTCATGACTTGTTGGGTCCATGAGCAGCCAAATGTGGCGTGGCCATCTTTAGCTCGCATCGTCCAGGTGCAGAAAGCATCCCTGGAGGAGTTGGACACCGGGAATTGGAAGGCGGATAGAAAGTGCAAACGACAGTCCACGGTTCTTATCGAGGAGCTGTAGGCATCCAACACCGGGAATTGGAAGGCGGATAGAAAGTGCAAACGACAGTCCACGGTTCTTATCGAGGAGCTGTAGGCATATGGATGTACTACTGGATTGCGAGGCTCTGCACCCTTCGTCCCATCTGTATCTCTCAGGCTGAATCCAACTAGAGGAAACTTGTAATGCAGTTTGTTGTTTTGGTGTACACACACTAATGTTGTTGAAAATTGTATACGAGCTTGAAATCCTGTTTGAAGTGATCTTGCTTTACTTGGTCATGATGCTTGTTAAGATGCGGGCTGATCTTTAGTCCCTGCGTTGGAGATGATTCAGTCCAGAAATTCTTATGATTGCAAGATTCTGCAAGTATTTCCCGTGAGTGTCTCTGTCTTGTCAATCATCGTGAAACCGAAAGGTGTGGCTTTAGGCCCTTTGGTTTCTTAAAATTCCTGTCACATCAGAATGTTTAAATATATACGTGAAGTATTAAATATAGATTAATTACGAAATTAATTACACAATTTACGACTAATTTTCGAGACGAATCTTTTAAGCCTAATTAGTCTATGATTTGACAACGTGGTGCTACAGTAAACATGTGCTAATGGCATACTAATTAGACTTTAAAAAATCGTCTTACAAATTAGCCTCTATTTATGTAGTTGGTTTTGTAATTAATCTATATTTAATGCTCTTTATTAGTATGTAACCATTCGCTGGACCAAACACCCCCTTTAGCCTTTTGCGCCGTCCTCTATTTCTATTTTGTAACACCCGTGGCCACCCGACGGCGATGAGACGTGAGAGACAAGGTGGATCTCGCCGACGAGGAAGGAGCAGAGGACGGCTCTGTCTTCCGTTTACTTGATAGCAAAATATTCTTAATTGCCTTACAAGCCACGGGTACAAGAATATAAGGCCTAAGGCCAACTGGTCAGTGGGACCCAACTGTCATACTCTATTACAATAGCAAATGAATAGCTAGACGCAAACAATAGCTGAAAGATGCCTTGCGCCGAGTATGCCATCACCCATGAGTCTTGCCATATTTGTAGGGCTAGCTTTCCTGCTTTACTACTCCGTTCCAAAACAAGTGACGTTTTTAACTTTTCGATATCATATTTGACCATTTATCTTATTTAACTTTTTTGCAAATTATAAATAAATAATTTTTTATTAAAGTATCTCTAATTATAAAATAAGTCATAACAAAATAGATAATATTTATATAATTTTTTTGAATAAGACAAACAGTTAAATAAGATGTCATTTATTTTAAAACGAATGAAGTACGATAGGAGTGACATCCAGAAGAGCGTCGGACCTACCCCACCCCTAGGAGCGCGCGCGCCAGCGCCGCAACCCCTACCAGCGCACGCGCGCTGGGTAGGAGGATCGCACGGTCGCAGGCAGCAGACACGGCGGCACGCAGCGACAAGTCGTGACACTTGCGGTGTCTGTTGGGCTGATGGTTGCATTCAGCCAAATGTCGGCAGGACATCTGATAGAAGTCGTGAAACAAGAGGCAACAAAACGTTGTAGTACTAGCGAAGATTTGGTCCAAAGCAGAGTGTTATTTGAACAAATCGTTTCTTATTCTTTGAAATTCTGATCCTGGTTCTCAGAATTTCGCTCATTTTTTCTTGCCAAACAGTCTCGTAAAATAAAAATACTCGTAGAAACTGACGCGTACAGTAAAGCTGTGGCAGTTAAGTACGGCACGCCGTTTCCTCTCGTTGGCTGGCGCCTGGCGGTGACGGCGAGAGGGAGAATAGAAGACGTCAGCACTGCCCCGTCGCCCTCCCGGCTCGCAAGTCGCAACCAACCGCATCTCTCTCGGCTTCTGGCCCCCTTCCTTCCTAGTTCCTAACCACCACCGCCACCACCGTCCCAAATCCGCAAACCCTAGCCCTCGTCGCCGGCGGCCATGGCCGAGACCGTCGACGACAAGCTCAGCTACTTCCAGGCCGTCACCGGCATCTCCGACACGGACCTCTGCACGGAGATCCTCGCCGCGCACAACTGGGACCTGCAGCTCGCGGTGTCCTCCATCACGGCCAACCCCTCCTCGCCCTCCGCCTCGGCCTCCACCTCCTCACGCGCCGACCCGGCCCCTTCCGCCCCGCTGGCGGCTGATGCGGAGTTCGTCGCGCCCCCGCCGCCGATGCCGATGCCGATGCCGATGCCGCTGCCGCCCCAACAGCAGCAGCAGCCGGGGATCGCGTGGAGGCTGGTGACGCTCCCCTTCTACGTGGTCTCGGGCGGGGTCGGCCTCGTCGCCGGCACCTTCCGCCTTGGCGCCTGGGTCGCCGGGGGCGTGCTGTCCCGCTCCCTCTCCCTCCTCGGCCTCGCGGGGCAGGCCGGCAGCGGCGACCGCCTGCTAGAGTTGCCGCCGTCATCTGCTGAGGCGGCCGACTTTGTCGCTGAGTTCGAGCGCGAGTTCGGCGCTGGCCGCGGCCCGCGCTTCGTGGCCCAGGGGTTCGCTGATGCGCTGCAGCGAGCGCAGCGGGAGTTCAAGCTTCTGTTCGTGTACCTCCACTCCCCTGATCACCTGGATACCCCTGCCTTCTGCGGTGGCTGCCTCTGCTCTGAGCCCGTCGCGGCCTTTATAGATGAGAACTTCGTTGCGTGGGGTGGTAGCATCAGAAGGACTGAAGGGTTCAAGATGAGCAACAGCCTGAATGCGTCCAGGTTCCCGTTTTGTGCTGTGGTCATGGCTTCTACGAACCAGAGAATCATGCTATTGCAGCAGGTATGATGTTGTAATGACTCTTGTTAGGTCTGGAAATAAGTTTAAACATTCATCTACGTTGGATTTAGCTGTTGCATTTGGTAGATTTCTGATTTTGGGTAATTTTGGTTGCCACATTAATTGCAGTGAAGGTGTTTATGTGAAACCATTAGATCCTGTGGACTTAGTTCAGCAATGCTTATTATTAATATCTTCAAGTTGTTTGGTAGTTTAGACTTTAGAACCTTTAATTGCTGAAGTTAGCCTATTGTTATCCTTATGGAGTTGGTGCTGGTTATAATAAGAAAGGAGAGTGCTATTGCCTCCAGCAAGATAGTGCAAATGTTAGATTCTTTTGTAATTGTTTATGTTAACCTAGCTAAATTAGGTATTTGGAGTGTCTGTAGTTTATTTTCTTCTTGGGTTAAAATGTAAATTTCCTATCTGAGATGGTAGCTGTAATAACTTTCATGCTTCCCCTCTGTAAGAGAATACTTTATTCTGTCCCTTTAGTTAGGCATGCATGCATATCATGAAATGGTATTCACAAGATTTTGATCTGCTTGTCACTTTTGGATATGTTCATACTATGTCATGGTAATTGAAACCAAACTTCAGAGTTTGAGATCGGATGAATATAGTTTTCACTTCTATCGCTTAACTGGTTAGAATGAGGTTTCGGTGAGAATTTTAGTAGGTGTTGTTTTCATGTTCAATTTCCAATCGCTTGAAACAATTGATAGGATCCTTGAGAGTAAATTTGTGGGAGTTGCACCTACCAATTCCATATCCTGAAACCTTGGATCTATTACACAATTCCAGCATATTGTAAGATCACTAGATGCAATCAGATGATTGTTCTCTAATTATATTGGAATTTTTTGTTATAATAATCTAATGAATTTTGGCTATGACTGCTCAAGAGTCATGATCTGAAAGCTAATGTGGTGATTTTTTTTGTTAGAAGAATTTGACTAAACTGCTGCAATTGTGGCTTCTTACTAGTATTTGATTGTGTGTCTGGTTATAATTATTGGCTATATTTTCTCTAGAAGTCTGTTTATATATGTATATAAAAAATCTGGTTCATGTCATCTGCTTGGTCCAACTGTCCGAGTAGCTATAGCTGAATACATTGCAACCTTTTGGTAAATAAGTGATTAGTGTCATTGTTCGCACAGTCAACAATCCTGTAATATAGGCACCCGAATTCTGATGATGCAACTTTGCTTCATTCTGAATTTCTAATGGATGGTGCTACAGCTTGTTTGCATTGGTATGATTTTTGTTAGCATGACTTGTATATCTGTTTATATAGCAAAATCCTGTTTGATATTCTTATGTATCCCTTTCCTCCATTCTCACTGGGGCTCACATCATTTTATTCAAAAGATTGATCTTATGTTGTGGTTGAGTGAAATAAAGCATCTAGAGAACGCTACTCATTATTCATTAATCGATCCAACGCCTTTTATGCTTTTTTTTTGGTATTGCTGTTGTTTATTTAGAAATATATATGACTGTATGGTATATGTTTGGCCTATAAAGCTGTTGGATGCACTTCTTTTACCATATAGAGTTGATCAGTATTGTGGTATATCATATGTTTGGCTTGTAAAACTGTAAGAATTTTTATTTATCAGTATTGCTAATAAGTTATATATTCATGTGCCAAAGGTTGAAGGGCCCAAATCACCTGAAGAGATGATAACAATTCTTCAACGTGTTGTTGAAGAATGCGCTACATCACTTTCGTTGCTGCCAGGATTGAAGCTGAAGAGAGACTAAACAACCAACGTTTGCGTGAGGAACAAGATGCTGCTTACGGAGCTGCACTTGAAGTTGACCAGGTATCTTAAGCTATATGGGCAGTGTGCTTTAATAGTAGAAAAGTACACATGTTTTATTTAAAATGAATGTATGGTGAGGATGTTCATGATGGGCTGGAGGGTGGTTATGTGGACAGCTCTTGTGACTGATGACATTTCAAATTTGTATAGTTATTAAGGAAATTGTATCTTCAAGTATTATGTTTGTGCATGTTATATTATTGCATAATGCATCAACAGAGTTTAGAAACATGCATCCTGATTTTGTGCTATTATTGGTGGTGATAACACTATCTAATCGCCACTTTTTATTGGAAATTACCAGGCCAGGGGCGTGAAAGGATAGAGGAACTGGAAAGACGTGAAAGAGAGGCTGCAGAGGCTGAGAGAAAGCGCAAGGAAGAGGAGGAAGCTTTAGCAAGGGCAGCCCAAGAAGCAGCTGAAAGGAAGCTGCTCTTGCAAGGAGGAGGCAAGAGAAGGCCATGGCTCTTGGAGCTGAACCTGAGAAAGGACCAAGTGTTACTCAGGTATGTCTAACCCTCTATGCCCGTGTCTTTTAAAGTACCTCTTTCCAATTCTTACTGCAAGATGACAATAACGCATGCTTCATGTTGTGCTGCTCTTGAAGTATGTCTATTTGAGTGCATCAAATATCACTGTTGTACCTGCAAATTTCTGTTTCATGTACGATATGTTATACAGTAATTGCAATTAATCCCTTGTTACTATCTCAGAATTAATTGTTAGTTTTGTCTACATAGTGCCTGTGTTTGATGTCTGCATATGCCCTCTGCATTCTCTAGAACAGTACTCCCTCCGTTCCAAATAATATGAGCGATTTTTAGCTTTTCTAGATACATTGCTTTTAGGATGTATCTAGACGCAGTGTATATCTAAGTCCATAGCAAAAGTTATGGATCTAGAAATACCAAAACGTCTTATAATTTGGCATGGATGGGGTATTTAGCATGTTACACTATTAGTAGTGTATTCACGTATGCAAATTCTTGTGAAACTAACTGGTAGACGCTCTGATGATGTTGCAGGTTCTCATAAGATTCCCAACTGGAGAGCGCAAAGAGCGGAGATTCCACAGTTCTTCAACCGTCACTTCCCTCTATGACTACGTCGATTCTTTAGATTGCTTGAAAGCAGAGAAGTACAGCCTAGTTTCGAATTTCCCACGCGTCACATATGGTCCAGAGAAGCACTCCCTGACACTGGAGGAAGCAGGCTTGCATCCACAGGCGAGCCTGTTTATCGAGATAGAACAATGATGCTGTAAGTTGAGAAAACCGAAACTCGAAAGTATACCCTTTTCGAATTTGTTCAGCAACAGTTAAGGATTTCCAGATGTATTACACCACAGGTGCATCATCCTTCTGTACTTGTTCATGAAATAAAACTCGCCTTCACCAAGATCAGTTGACTGCAGCCAGGTCTTGTAATTTGTTAAGAATTTTTGCTACGTTTCTCAGCCCTTGCGGTGCTTCAGGGAGGTAGGCAAAACTGAAAGGCTTGTTCCTTGGGTCGTGAAATATGTTGTGGATTCTGAAACTTCAGAGTTAACGCAGCTTCTCTGATTCTCTCTATCAGAGCTGGGTTGTTGTAGCAAACAGTCAGGCCTGTCGGTATCATTGCCACGCCGCAAGTTAGGCAAGGTTTTTAGACGCAAGTACAGTAACAAGCCTGGCCTGATTCTGTTAGCCAAAGTATGATGAAGTATTTGTTTCTCTAAATGGCACACCCGGCCATTTCCTCTATTCATCTGTTAATTGACCTGTTTGACCACATCAGTAATTTCGAAGGAGGACCAAAATGCCCCTGGCTAACCAGTCACCGTGACCTTCTCCCCTCACAACAAGGAGCGCTCGTTCCCTCTTCTTCCTGAAAAAAAAATTTCTCCAATTTTTTTTTCTCCAAACCCTAGTTCAATGGAGGCCTATCTCACGGGTAGAGAAGATGACTTGTTTGACCATATATTAGTAATTTTGAAGGAGGACCAAATGTCCCTGGCCAACTACCTGTCCGAACGCTGTTGCGCGCCTGCTGCTCGCATGCTGTTGCGCGCCTGCTGCTCCCATGCTGTTGCACGCCCATGATATTGCGCGCCGGCGCCAGCTGCTGCGCATGCACGTGGGGATCGCCCGCGCATGGGGGACCTTCTACGCCTGTGCTCGCTTTCCCTTCGCCTGCTAACGAAAACATTTGCAACGTGAAGTATTTGCTGCAAAATACATCTGAAACAAGTGAAACATAAGCTTGCAACATATATGTATAGCCACTGCAACATATGCAGCAACAGTAACAACAACAACATAGCCTTTCAGTCCCAAGCAAGTTGGGGTAGGTTAGAGTTGAAACCCACCAAGATCCCCAACTCATGGTTCAGGCACTTCAATAGCTGTTTTTCAAGTATTCCTATTCAAACATAGATCTCTAGATATATCCTAAGTTTTCAAATATCTTTTTATTGCCTCCCCCTATGTCAATTTTGGTCTTCCTCTATCTCTCCTCATATTATTAGCTTGGCTTAGGACTCCACAATGCACTGGTGTCTCTAGAGGTTTCCTTTGGACATAGCCAAACCACCTCAACCGATGTTGGACAAGCTTTCCTTCAATTGATGCTACCTCTAGGCGATCACGCATATCATCGTTCCGAACTTGGTCCATTCTTGTGTGACCGTAAATCTATCGCAACATACGTATTTCTGCAACACTCAGTTGTTGAACATGTCGAATCTTTGTAGGCCAACATTCTGCTTCATACAACATAGCCAGTCTAATCGCCGTTCTATAGAACTTACCTTTTAGCTTTTGTGGTACCCTCTTGTCACAAAGAATGCCAGAAGCTTGTCGTCACTTGATTCACCCTGCTTTGATTCTATGGCTAACGTCCGCATCAATATCTCCATCCCTCTGTAGCATCGATCCCAGATACCGAAAGGTATCCTTCTTAGGCACTACTTGACCTTTCAAACTCACATTTTCCTCCTCCTGTACAACTTCGTCAAAGTCGCATCTCATGTATTCGGTTTTAGTTCTGCTCAATCTAAAACCTTTAGACTCAAGGGTCTGCCGCCATAACTCTAGTTTCCTATATTTATTGCAACATATGCAACATCCAGATAAAACACTTGTAACATATGTCTGAAACAGCTGAAACATTGGAACATACACTTGCAACATATGTCTATAGCCACTGCAACATATGCAACTTCCAGATAAAACACCTGTAGCTTGCAACATGAAAAAAATTGCTGACTGAAACAAATGAAACATACTCTTACAACATATGTGTGAAAACATATGCAATATCCAGATCAAAATACTTGCAAACATATGTCTGAAACAGATAAAATATTTTAAAAAAATCTTGCAACATTCATCTGAAACACTTACAACATATGCAATATGTGCAACATCCCGATCTACTTTTGCAATATTCATATGAATCACTTGCAACATACCTCTAAAATATGTAAAACACTTGAAATATACGCTTGCAACATGCGCTTTAAGCACAACGCAACATCTCCTTGCTGCTTGGGAGAAAGAAGGCTCGTCGGCGTGTGTGGAGTTCACCGTAGGCAGTGGACCGGTGGCGGCGGCTGCACGACACGGCAAGGAGGCAGCGCTCGCACGACTGGGAGAGGGAGCCAGATCCGCCAGGGAGCCACTTGTGCTCGACCTACCGCGCTGGTCCGCCCGTGACCGCCTTCGGCGCGTTGCGTCGCCGTGTCGAGGGCCGCTCGGGCCTCCTTGCCGTGGCCTGCTCACGCGGAGGCCGCTGCGCCGGGACGCTCGCCCGCACCGCAAAGAGAGAGGGGAGAGAGTAGTGTTGGAGGCTTAGCAGCCATGTTTCCATTCCCGTCCCCATTCCCGGAACGTGAGCGGGAACTTGAGGTATCATTTTATAACGTGAGAACGGGAACATTCGTGTTCCCGCAATGTAGAACATGGGAACGGGAACGTGGGCCATGTTCCCATTCCCAGGCTGCTAAGGCTGGAGACATGCGAGAGAGGGACGGTGGCTAGTAAGGCATGCATGCGGACGCAGGCGGGTCAGGGTCAGGGTCCAGATACAGGTGCGGATGGGGTACAGGTACATGTGGGTGGGTCAGGGTCTGTCCGGACAGACGGACCTCCTCGTCCTATCATTATTGAAATGGGAAGGAGGACCAAAATATCCCTGCCCAACCAGTCACCGTGACCTCCCCTCACAACAAGTCGCGCTCAGTCTTGTTTTCAAAAAAAAGGAAACAAGTCGCGCTCAGTCTCTCTTCTTCCTCGAAATTTTTTCCTCCAAACCCTAGATCAAAGGAGGCCGATCTCGCGGGTGAAGAAGATGAGGCAGGGGTGGAGGAGGCCTCTCCCAACAGCACCCTAGAGCACTCGCTCGGGGCATGGTGCGGACACCCCCGTTGCTCCCAATCCACCGCTTGCAACCGTTCTGCTCGCGTTCCACTACCTGTTCTGTATTGTGGGTCTCCGGCCGAGGCAACGACACGTACTGCAGCAATACGACATGATTTCTTCGATTTAGCATTGAGCGAGTTTAATTTGTTTCGGTTATGTTCTGCTAGATTCTGCTACTGATTTTGCTTCTGAAGTGTATTGGCTAATGAAATCAGCTATCTGTTCTTGAAGTTGTACTTGAAAAATGTTAATTTTCTGTTGTGCGAAGTGGAAGGATATTTTCTATGCTTCTCCTATTATAGATTGAAAACTTTCAGCTTTTTGGGTCAAGTTTGGTAAATTACTAAATTTAGTGTAATCTCGGAGACACATTCAAATTGGTTTGATAATTTTTTGCACCAAATTTCTTAGCTTGGTATTTAAAAGTTATTTAATATTTATTTATAGCCTTCATTTGTCAAAAAACCATGTGTTTATGTCAGAAGAAGTATATTTCTGATACTACCACTAATCTCTTCCTTATTACATAACTAGGACATTCATGCTTTTTTTATTGGACACCATGTAGTTCTGAGGAGCATGTGGGTCATTTTGGTGGCCACTTAACACAGTTAGTGGAGGAAATGGACGGTAGTATCATTTAGGTAAGAAAATTTTAACTTAGTGTTAATAAGAAATTTCAATTTAGGGAGTGCCTTAGAAGCAAGGCCGAGATTTCTCTCAATGACACATTAATTTTATAGTTCGGGGGCATAGCGATTGCCTTGATTTATTCCATAAATTGCAGAAATTATAATCTTTATTCAAAATAGGGGCTACTTTTACATAAAGAATGTCTGAGGCGTGACATCAACGCTAATTTCAACTATCAACATTTTTTCTCTTTCATCTTCGTATCACATCTGAAGGGCGGGCCTGGTGCAAGCGGTAGAGTCTTACCGCCTGTGACCGGAAGGTCTCGGGTTTGAGTCGTGGTCTCCTCGCATTGCACGGGCGAGGGTAAGGCTTGCCACTGACACCCTTCCTCAGACCCCACACAGAACGGGAGCTCTCTGCACTGGGTACGCCCTTTATCTTCGTATCACATCTAACATTACCCTTCACAGTTCTTCTCGGCATGTAAACCCTTGTTTTGAGAAAACAGGCTAAAAAATAACTCTGGAAATATGTCTATCCACCATATGTGGTGGACAATGAGTAGCATAGTAACAACTTTTCACAATACTCAAAAAGGTTTGCCTGGTCTCGCTGTTATTGGGTTTCTCACGGACACTCAGAAGATATTGAACAAATTCTCGCATATGCAACTTTATTTCATCATCAACACTGCTTATTATTTCTCCATTCTTCTTGGGATCCTATAAAGAAAGACATCATTAGTTCAGCACATGTTCATATAAAAAAGTGAAATAAAAGTAGTCTTGCAGAAATCTTAAAACAAAATTTACACGATCTAATTTTTCAACAAATGAATAAAGTTCGTCATTAACAACATTCTCTCATTCTAATAAATTGTTGTTTATACCACTTTGTATTTTGTTTGCCAAGAAATTGTTGTTTCTACCATTGTATCCTTATTCCATTCAACATGGACCACTTACAAAAAAAATGAAATTGGAAATACACTTTAATGATCCAAAGAATGAAGCTATTGCAATATAAATTTATTATTGCATAGTTCTTAGTTCATTGAATAATGTGGCTAAGGCTATTATGGCAAATTTAGTGGTAAAATAATAAGCATGATTTTTGTCGCATGGAACTGTGTCGCCCTCAATTATTGTAGTTGGTTATGAAGTCTAATTTTGGAGGTGATAATAAAGCTGATATTGGAAACCTCCATACATCTTCGTTGT